ATAGTTGTTCCAGATGTCACATAGACTCTCAATAGCCATTCTCAAGAAATGTCTTGAAATTTCCTCTTCTGAATTCATCAGACCTCTCCCAGGCCTTTGCCTATTCTTTTGTTTTTATAAGATCCCGAACTTAATTCTGGGTGTTACTCAAGGACTATAAATTGATCTGAGTAACTTGGCCTGTTGCAGGTCTTGCAGTAGGTAACTGCTGGTGGTAAAAGCATGGAAACAGAGCCTTCAAAATGCACATCATTTACTTCTGAACACAGAGAACACTTCAGAGCACACAGTCTGTGCTTAGCAAAAGAAAAAATCAACACACATACTTATTGATGCACTGATGTCCCTCTATCATCTCCCAGAAAGGAACTGCTGCACGGACAACTTAGAGCCTTGTTGGTTGTTGTAGGAAATGTACAGATAGGTCCTCTACCATTTGGGGATCTTCTTCCCCCATTTTGTCAGTAATCTGTTTTCCATGCTCTGAACATCCCAAACTCCAGATGCTGCAAGTTCCAGCAAACAAAACCTACTAATTCTAACAGCTTTCAGGCATAAAATCTTCTAATAATGGCATATTTTCTAATGTTGCTTTGAAAAAAAAAAGCATAATGCTTCCTCAAATCTGAGACTTCTTCTGGCTAAACAGTAAAACTGAGTGATACATTACATATAATCTGAGTAAGAAATAAGACATACGCTTTCCCAACTTGTAAAGAATATCATACAGATCATTTAGCACTTTTGAACCCTACAGTTCCTAGGTCTTAATAGCATGTGGGATGGGAGAGAGGCAAGTGAATTATTAGACTAGCAAGCTGTTGTGTGTTAACCCCAGAAAGCAGCTAAACAACCACACAACCTTGCTCTCTTCCACCCACAGTGGGATGAAGGAAGAGGAAAGGAAAAGCAAGAAAACTTGGGGATTGAGATAAAACCTGTTTAATAAGTGAAACAGAAGTTTAAGAAGAGAGAAACAAAACAAAACAAGTGATGCAAAACTGATCATTAACCACTTCTCATGGAGAGATTGCCAGCCTGTCCTAAGATGGACTAAAACGCTTTTTTCCTCTTTCTCTTGCTGAGCATGACACAATGGCGTGAAATATCTCACTGGTTAGTTTGAGTCATCTGACCAGTAATGTGCCCTCCCAGTTCTTTCTCCCACTAATCTATTCACTGTGGAGACAAAGAGAGAAGACCTTGATGCTGTTCAGCAATAGCCAAAACACCAGTGTTCTGTCAGTACCATTTGGTCATAAATCTAAAATACAGCACCATATCAAGTGCTGTGAAGAAAATTAACTCTGTCCCAGCCAGACTTGGTCCCCTAGTTTTCTGAGGAAACATAGCCAGAGATAAATGGAGAAAATAGTATCTTATATCTTATATCTTGCACTCATCCCACTGCATTCTACTTCACAACAGAAGTTCCCGATACATGAACATTTTTGCTAACAAGTACCACTTTGTCAGTTTGATTTGTGACACTCTGTTATAAATTAAATTGGTTTCATAATTCAGACTTGACTTTTCTTAATACTTTTATAACTACTTCAACTCTAGGTCTGAAATCTAATTTGATTTGGCAAAATATTTTTATCTAAATGTTCTAGGGCAAAAGATCTTCATGTACACCAACTCAAACACTCCTCATACAATGACTGAAGTCCTCCTCACAGTGAAGATACTCGACCTGAAAAATTCTCGCTTGTCCTAGTTTAAGGCAAATTAGGGAGGAAAACTCCAAATGGGGATTTCCTCAGGGAAATGCCCCCTCCTCACTAACTGATCTGGAAAAGGGGAAAAAAAAAAAAAAAGTTATTGGAGAGAAGTGGAAAAAGCTGTTTATTTGAAATTGAATAGTATTAAATAATAATTTGAAAAAAAAATTTGAAATTGAATAATATTAAATAATAAAACCTCTTGCTGTTCGATGGGATGGCAAGTCTAGGAAGAAAAGTCCTTTTCATGTGGTGTAGCTCAGCTAGCTCAGGTTCTTATCAGTCCTTTCGGTGCTAGAAAGTGCCGAGGCCCGGGCCCCGGTGGGCCACAGGCGTGAGCTCCCGGGGTTTAGCTGGGTGTTCAGTCCAGATCAGGTTTGCACAGATCCAAGAAAAGGAAAAAAACAAAGGTCTAGGGAACTCCTCTGCCTCAGCTAGCTAAAACTAACTAAAAGCCAGAGAGGGCTCTGTCTCGCTGTCTGTTCGTGCTGCAGACACCACAGTCCAGGAGCGGGATGTGTGGGAGTGATGTTTTTCTTTAACACAAACTGCGCGCTTCTTCTTCCCCCTCTCTTGCTCTCAAAGCCAGTCTTAAAGGTGCAGAACTTAATATATAACATAAACCAGACGATTGGGGATACCAGTATCATAAAGTCACTCCAGGACATTCCACCCCTTATCCCCATATCGTCAACTTATTATCAAAATTAATATATATATATATTTTAACTCTACAACACATACATTATATACAGACAAGGGCATTCATTCATGATCTTCACTCAACCATCAGATCTCCCTGAGGTACACATTGTGTTGTTCCATCTTTCCGCATTATCCACCATGTGCAACCCGGTCTCTGAGCAAAAACAACCCCACGAATGGGTTTGTCTGTACTCAAAGTAGAATTGATCCAAACTGTCTTTCCTAACAAACCTCTGAGATGTACTGCTGGGACTTTGTCTCCGTCTACTTTATGCAGGGGCTCGGATTGGGCTGGGCCTGCTCGATTGGTGGAACCTCGGGTATTAACTATCCAGGTGGCCTTTGCTAGATGTTGCTCCCAATTTTTGAAAGATCCCCCACCCAACGCTTTCAAGGTAGTCTTTAACAGTCCATTGTACCTCTCCACTTTTCCCGCAGCAGGTGCATGGTAGGGGATATGGTACACCCACTCAATGCCATGTTCCCTAGCCCAGCTGTTTATAAGGTTATTCTTGAAATGAGTCCCATTGTCTGACTCAATCCTCTCAGGGGTGCCATGCCTCCAAAGGACCTGCTTTTCAAGTCCCAGGATGGTGTTCCGGGCAGTGGCATGAGGCACAGGGTAGGTTTCCAACCATCCAGTGGTGGCTTCTACCATTGTGAGCACGTAGCGCTTGCCTTGGCGGGTTTGGGGCAGTGTGATGTAGTCAATCTGCCAGGCTTCCCCATATCTATATTTGGACCACCGCCCACCGTACCATAGCGGCTTCAACCTCTTGGCCTGCTTGATTGTGGCACACGTCTCACAGTCATGGATAACCTGGGAAATACTGTCCATGGTTAGATCCACCCCTCGGTCTCGTGCCCACTTATAGGTGGCATCTCTACCCTGATGGCCTGAGGCATTATGGGCCCATTGAGCTAGGAACAACTCTCCCTTGTGTTGCCAATCTAAGTCTATCTTTGACACCTCTATCTTTGCAGCCTCATCCACCTGCTCATTGTTTCGGTGCTCTTCATTAGCCCTACTCTTGGGGACATGGGCATCTACATGACGGACCCTCACAGACAGTTTCTCTACCCTGGTGGCGATGTCCTTCCACTCATCAGCAGCCCAGATTGGCTTTCCTCTGCGTTGCCAGTCGGCCCTTTTCCACCTTTCCAGCCATCCCCACAGAGCATTGGCTACCATCCATGAATCAGTGTAGAGGTAGAGTTTTGGCCACTTCTCTCTTTCAGCAATGTCCAGGGCCAGTTGAACAGCTTTGAGTTCAGCAAGTTGGCTTGATCCACCTTCTCCTTCAGTGGCCTCTGCGACCTGTCGTGTGGGGCTCCATACGGCTGCTTTCCACTTCCGGTTCATCCCTACGACGCGACAGGAACCATCAGTGAACAGAGCATAGCGTGTTTCTTCTGCTGGCAGTTGGTTGTACGGTGGAGCTTCTTCAGCTCGTGTCACTTGTTCCTGCTCCTCTTCATCAATGAGACCAAAGTTTTCACCTTCCGGCCAGTTTGTAATTATCTCCAAAATCCCAGGGCGATTTGGGTTTCCTATACGGGCGCGCTGCGTGATGAGGGCGATCCACTTGCTCCATGTAGCGTCGGTGGCGTGGTGGGTAGAGGGAACCTTTGCTTTGAACATCCACCCCAGCACTGGCAGTCGGGGTGCCAGGAGGAGTTGTGCTTCTGTGCCAATCACTTCTGAGGCAGTGTGAACTCCTTCATAGGCAGCTAAGATTTCCTTCTCTGTGGGAGTGTAGTTGGCTTTGGACCCTCTGTAGCTTCGGCTCCAAAATCCCAGTGGTCAGCCTCGAGTCTCCCCAGGCACTTTCTGCCAAAGGCTCCAGGACAGACCGTGGCTCCCGGCTGCAGAGTAGAGCACGTTCTTCACGTCTGGTCCTGTTCTGACTGGGCCAAGGGCTACTGCATGGGCGATCTCCTGTTTGATCTGAGCAAAGGCTTGTTGTTGTTCAGGGCCCCACTGGAAAGTGTTCTTTTTGCGGGTGACCAGGTAAAGAGGGCTCACAATCTGGCTGTACTCAGGAATGTGCATCCTCCAAAAACCTATGGCACCTAGGAAAGCTTGCGTTTCCTTCTTGTTGGCTGGTGGAGACATTGCTGTGATCTTGTTGATGACATCAGTAGGAATCTGACGCCGTCCATCTTGCCACTTTACCCCCAGGAACTGAATTTCACGAGCTGGTCCCTTAACTTTGCTCTTCTTGATGGCAAAACCGGCTTTCAGGAGAACCTGGATGATTTTCTCTCCTTTCTCAAAGACCTCTTCAGCCGTCTTTCTCCAAACAATGATGTCATCAATGTACTGCAGATGTTCTGGAGCCTCACCCTTTTCCAGGGCAGCCTGGATCAGTCCATGGCAGATGGTGGGGCTGTGCTTCCACCCCTGGGGCAGTCGGTTCCAGGTGTACTGCACTCCCCTCCACATGAAGGCAAACTGAGGCCTGCATTCTGCTGCCAGGGGAATGGAGAAAAATGCATTGGCAATGTCAATAGTGGCATACCACTTCACTGCCTTGGACTCCAGCTCGTACTGGAGCTCCAGCATGTCTGGCCCAGCTAGCTGAGTCAGTAGAGCATGAGACTCTTAATCTCAGGGTCGTGGGTTTGAGCCCCACGTTGGGCGCCAAAGCTGTATTTGTCCTAGTTTAGGGCAAATTAGGGATGAAAACTCCAAATGGGGATCCCCTCAGGGAAATGCCCCCTCCCCACTAACTGATCTGGAAAAGGGGAAAAAAAAAAAAAAAGTTCTTGGAGAGAAGTGGAAAAAGCTGTTTATTTAACAGAAATTGAATAATATTAAATAATAAAACTTCTTGCTGTTCGATGGGATGGCAAGTCTAGGAAGAAAAGTCCTTTTCATGTGGTGTAGCTCGGCTCGCTCACGTTCCTTATCAGTCCTTTCAGCGCTAGAAAGTGCCAAAGGTGGGCCAAAGGCGTGAGCTCCTGGGATCTGGCTGGGTGTTCAGTCCAGAGCAGGTTTGCACAGATCCAAGAAAAGGAAAAAAACAAAGGTCTAGGGAACTCCTCTGCCTCAGTTAGCTAAAACTAATTAAAAGCCAGAGAGAAGCTCTGTCCCGCTGTCTGTTCGTGCTGCAGACACCACAGTCCAGGAGCAGGATGTGTGGGAGTGATGTTTTTCTTTAACACAAACTGCACGCTTCTTCTTCCCCCTCTCTTGCTCTCAAAGCCAGTCTTAAAGGTGCAGAACTTAATATATAACATAAACTAGACAGTTGGGGATACTAGTATCATAAAGTCACTCCAGGACATTTCCTTAACTTTCAAAACAATATTTCAGCATGCATTTTGGTCAGTGACCTCAAAAGAGTAAGTTTCCTACCACCCCATACCCATATGAACACACGGCAACTCTACCTACACGTGTTCATTTTCAATTTACGAACAGCCTACCACCAGCTCAAGAGAAAAAAGATTTTGCCTTTGACATTTCAGAAGAGATTGCTATATAATTGTTACAGAATTTTAAACTGATATAATTTAAATCTATTTTAAGCAAAAATTAACAGGTAGCTAGCTACAGAATATGTGGGATATCAGAGAAATACCTAGGGAAGAGATGTACAAATAAAGGAATACAGTGTACATAAGGTGTCACTTCTCAGGGTTAAGCAGAAAATGAAGCATGGACTGACCTTTCACTTGGATCCACATGGCCATCTAAATTAATTTAAACTAGATACAAGATCTATACAGTCCAATTTAATTTTATGAAGCAATTTTTCAAACAACTACATGCCAGTTACAATATACAAGATGGAAATTGTGTGATGAATCTTTCATTTTAGCAACTACTAACTAATTTGTCTGTCAACTCTGTTGCTAGTTGAAGTGTGTCTATTAATCTATTTGTGTTTGGATCAATTCCATTTTCCTAATTTTCTGGGCAGCTTTCACAGAGACTCCATATTTCATAAAAAGAACCTCCCACAGCACACACTTTCTTCTGTCTTCCCATATGTTGCATTTTCCTTCAAGATAGCTCTGGTCTAGTGCCCAAGGTTAATATGTTTCTGTCACAGACTAGTTGCACAACTAATGAATTCTTCTGGATTTACAGAGATAGAAAGCACCTGATTTATTCTCGTGAGCAGGAATTCCCTCATTCAGTAAGGTGCTTGCTACGAGAAAGAGAAAATAATTTTTTATTATTTTGAAAGGTTTATTTTACACTATTTCTTAATGATTTTACATCAACGCCTTTGAAGCGATTAAAGCAAACAGTAAAATCAGGTTAATACAAATCTACAGTAAGCATAGGGTACATGTATGTTAACAAGAATGATAACTCTGTGCATGACTAACCAGTTGAGTGCAGATCACTATTTTCTGTGGTATTTCAGATTTCATTACTAAAACAGGATGACCACAACTGACTCATTATGGTAAGTGTGTAGAATGGATGCTCAAGCAGGTTATTCCAATTGTCGCTTTTTTTCCCTTTGGGCTTTTTGAATGGAATACTGGATTTTTAAAGGCTACTTTGTTGTTAGCAATACAGACTATTCCAGTAGACTACTGATCCTCAGGAACACAGTAGTGCTCATCTTCATAATTATTTTTGCTGCCATAAGATAGATTTGCATCACGTTGTCTCTTTCACCACTGACACAATAGCACTAATACCTCTTATGATAAAGCAATTGATGATTAGTGCTAACTTGATGTAGGAGCCCCAAGCCACATATGTATTATTTATAGAAAAGGAATAGCAGATATGTTTTGGAAACAGACTGTATTGAAGGTCACTAAAATTATGTTTTGCTGTGAATTCTGCTTGCAAGGGTTTTACAAGAAAAGCCTAGTGGGTGCTCAGCCATATAGGATAACAGGAATGTTGCCTTCTGCTCCCTTTGGTGGAGAGCTGGGAAGTTAGTGGAGAGACAGGAACTTCTGCCACACAGTCAAGCCCATCCAGATCTTGAGTGCTGTGGAGGATGCTCTCTCTCCTTCTACTGCAGGGAAGCCCAGAGTAGTCAGTAGACACACCACCCTCAAACTTTTAGCATTAGAGAGGACTAATCCAGGCCTCAGTGTTTTGCTATCCTCTTTCATTCTCTCTGGATTAGAATTCTTGTTCTGCTGTATCACAGTTAATGGGTTTACCACAATGGATGGGTCCACCCAAGAAAAGGTTCTGCAACTTCCTACACAGTTCTTGAAGGTGAGAGAAAATGAATGCTGAATTGTTTCTTCTCTGAATGGGTACATCAGTAAGAAGGACATGGAGGAAACCTTTCCTTGTAACAGTGATACACTGAAACACTTTAAACAACACACTATTGGCAAATAAGTCAGCAAAGCCCAGGCTCTCCCATTATGCACCACCATAAGCATGGTCATCTCAGTGCACTGGGTTTTTTCTCTTTGTGGCAGGGACTCAAAGTAATTATCTTGACCATGGCTGTAAAGCACAGATAACTAGCCCATTAAAGCTGAAAGGAAAAACAAGTTGTTTGGAATGAATTATTAACTCAGATGAAAATACAACCATATGCATTACTTGATAGGTAGTACAGTAAGTGTGGCTCCCAGAAGGAATAAATGCAAACACAATATAATCAACAGCAGTTTTGTTACCGTATTTACAGCAAGGAGGGTAGATTTTCACCATAATCTATATCAGTCAGAAGGATACTCGATTTAAAAAATCAGATTAAAAAACCTAGTGTGAGATAAATAAAGTACACCAGGTATTTTCACATTTTCAGAATAACTTCGGTAAATGGAAATGTTAAAAGTTATGCTCAGATAAGACGTAAAGAAGGCGGTTAAGCAAATTGCTAAATTATGAGACTTTGAGATTATTTTCAAGGAACAACTGCTATCTACATCACGAAATGATTCTGTAATATTAAACACACCTTTTATCTACATCAAGTAATGCAAGTAACTAGCAAATAATTCCTAAGAAAAACTAGTATCTTTACTCATCCAAAAATATTTTAAAATATTGAAGATTGTATCAAGTTCTCCCCATCACTCATTGCTATAAAGAAAGGTTTTTGATTGACAGATTGAAGGACAAAAATGATCCTTTTCCACCACAAAATCTCTCTACAACAGAATATAATCATTGACTAAAACACTAACAGAAAAATGTTCAAAGTTTTAAACATTTTCTTTTATGACATGCTTTTTCTAGTCAAGGACATCATGACAAGTAAGTTAGAAAATGTCTCTTCTCCTCTTTCAGAGCAATTCACTACTGACAGTGGTCTGTCATTCCCATGAGCTTCCACTTTTTTCTTTCAGTCAGACAAACAAAATACCCAACTGCCATCTCAGCTGTTTTACTCCTCACCAGCAGGTTCCCTTCTGAAGATTTCAGTCATTTCTGTGACACTGCTGTCTCTCCCACTTAACAAACAAGTCACGCTTCCTCCTTGGAAGATGGAGCGATATTTTTATACTACAGTGATCAAAACAGACAAATGTACAATCAGTCTTTAATCAGAAGATAGTCAGCAGAACGATGGCAAGACAACTGATGTGGGGCTTTTATGGTGGAATTTACCATGCATGATTCAACACCTAACAGGTAGACATCTAGCCTTAGCTTCCCTTTCAGAGAAAGCTTCCTGAGTTCAGAGAAAAGCATCAGCATCTCCAAGAGTGATTCATTGCACATAGCAGAGATACATTCTGTAGAAGGAATCAAGTCCTCTTTGACAACATCTTCTGGGTGTGACTGACAATGCCAGTTAAGATGCATTAGAAAGCAAGCACTGTTGTACCATTGCACAGCATGTACAGAATTTACAAAATCCTCATATACTAATGAGTGCTGAATGGCTGTACAGCAATTGTTCTGTGTGTGGTGGCATATATACAGAGATAAATCTGTGTATATGTGCATATGCAGCTATTCATATGTATCTTGAATATTCATATAAGGAAAAATTTGCATAAGAGAAATATATTTGGAGCAGGAAAACTGACTATTTTTTCAGTTTGGCTTGTGGCCTATTACTATATTAATTAGTAAAGTGTTCTGGAAAAAGACACTAACCTTAATGTAAAGGCATAATTTAGTCATAGCAGTTATTTTTCATAACCCTGAAGTACTTGAAGATCCTGATTTTTTAGGTTTGTTTTGTTTTGTTTATTTTGCAGTTTTTTTCCTTTGTTTTGGGTTTTTTCCTTTCCTTTTCTATTATTTTATGAAAGTAGATTCTTGTAAGGGTTTGAACAATATTTCAGAAATATTTCATGTTCAGCAGTGGAAGTTACAATGTTTTCTACCCTGACAACATAAATTTTGGCTTTATCATTTTCAAGTAATCCCAAGGATCCCACAAAGCTGACAGATTCAGTATCCTAATGAAATTTAGACCATCTATCTGATCCAAATAGCCACAAGTAAGGATCACATTGTTTAACACAAACTTATCTGCCTCAGATATATTCAAGCCACTGGGAGAAACTGTTGCCATGACATGAACCTAAAGAGACATAAAAAATTAAGGTACTGAAATAGAGTGAAAGAAGAAGAGACTGGCCACAGAAGTTGTGAATTATTTCCTGCAGTATATAACCTGTAGAGCTGGTGCACAGCCTGGGGCTGATCAGAAATATGGGAACATGTGGCTCTTCTCTGTTTGG